AATTGCCACTGCCACCTTAACTTTCATCACCCGCCACACTGATCATTTAGCAGTCACCAACATTGAGGCAAGACCCTTCACTAGCAGAGAGATTAGGACTCCCTGAAGGCTCAGATTATTATTAGCATTTTTTAGCAATAAAGCATTTTTTAATTAAATACTTTTTAGACACAATGCTACTGCACACTTAATAGACTACAAGTAGTATAAACATAACTTTAATATGCATAGGAAATCAAAAAGTATGGGATTTGCTTTACTGCAATATTCAGTTAATCGCGGTGGTTCAGAACTAAACCTGCAATATCTCTGAGGTTTGCCAGAATACCTGTATTTTTAATTTTGTCAGCACTACAGTAAAGATAAGAGTTTATACATTACTCACTGATAAAAGTAAGTTTCTCTGCTGGCATGGAGAGAGTATTGTCAAAGAAACCCAACAACAATGGCACCTCTCCTGCCAAGCAGGGAAATTTTACACCAGGGATCTCCAATATGAAGCTCTACTTAAGCCTAGAGTGTCTGGCCCACTGAGAGTTATAATGTATACATCACCCTAAGCTAGTTCACATAAATCTTAACCAATCAATAATATGAAAAGTTTGATCAAAACATTTTCTTCTGAAAAAGATGAGCCATGTTTGAGGACTCTTCGAGGTAGGGAGGAGAGTTTCCACAGTTAATGCAACTCAAAATAGGAGGTTGGTATGCCCAGCTTCCATTGCCTCATTTATCAAGAGTTTGTGTTTTGACTTTTGGGAGTCAGTTTTATTGCATGATGTAATGGAGAAAATAATGAAGATTGCATTTTCTTTATGCTTATTTTTTTTAACCATAGCTGCTTTATGGATAGTTAAGAAGCTAACGCAACAGAAGTAGATTTAGTTTATTTTAATTTAGTTACGTGGCTAAGTCCTGGAAATTTTTGAAGAAATGTGTTGAAGTGTTCTTAAAATTACAGAGTCTTAGATCCTACTTGCTAGACCTCCAAAGGCCCCAAAAGGCTGCACATACTTTTCTTTGATGTTACATAACATAATGTAACATCCTCTATATCACATACCAGTTTCTCTACATAGCTAATGCAACTAACATAATACAAAATCCTCTATGCCCATTATAAAAGTAATTGTTAGGGCCGGGCGCGGTGGCTCAAGCCTGTAATCCCAGCACTTTGGGAGGCCGAGGCGGGTGGATCACGAGGTCGAGAGATCGAGACCATCCTGGTCAACATGGTGAAACCTCGTCTCTACTAAAAACACACACAAAAAAGTAGCTGGGCATGGTGGCGCGTGCCTGTAATCCCAGCTAGTCAGGAGGCTGAGGCAGGAGAATTGCTTGAACCCAGGAGGCGGAGGTTGCGGTGAGCCGAGATCGCGCCATTGCACTCCAGCCTGGGTAACAAGAGCGAAACTCCGTCTCAAAAAAAAAAAAAAAAAGTAATTGTTTTGTATTCAGATTCAAACTTGGCAAGTGAATTGAGAAGATGGTACCCAAGACTTGTTTATTTTTTTCTTTTCATTTCTTTTTTAGACAGTGTCTTGCTCTGCTGCTCAGGCTGAAGTGCAGTGGCACGATGATCTCAGCTCACTGCAACCTCCACCTCCCAGGTTCAAGCCATTCTCCTGCCTCAGGCTCCTGAGCAGTTGGGATTACAGGTGTGCACCACCACACCTTGCTAATTGTTGTATTTTTAGTAGAGATAGGGTTTCACCATTTTGGTCAGGCTGGTTTCAAATTCCTGACCTCAGGTGATCCACTTGCCTTGGCCTCCCAAAGAGCTGGAATTACAGGTGTGAGCCACCATGCCCCGCCAACTATTTTGCTTTTAATGCTGAACTCTTGAGCTCAAAGGATTTTAAAGTCACATAGTTATTTAGAGAAAATAAGTCCTGATTTTGAAAGCTATTTCACAGATTTTGTTGACTCCAAGTTGTATTCTCTGCAACTTTGAGATACAACCACAGGATGTGTGTGATGATTCCTGTGATTATAAAGCCCCAGACCTATTGGAATGGCCCATTTTCATAAGAAAATGAAAGGCATGAGCCACCACGCCTGGCCAGAAGTGAATATCTTAAGGTTAGCTGTGAAATGGAAATACATATTAATCTGTATACTAGTTCCCTCTTATCCCTGGTTTCATTTTCCCCAGTTTTAGTTACCAGTGATTCGGTATAATAAGATATTTTGAGAGAGCGAGAGCATACATTCGCATAACTTTTATTACTGTAATAATTGTTCTGTGTTATAATTATTGTTAATCTCTTACTCTTTCTAATTTATAAATTATATATAGAGTTTGGCCAGGTGTGGTGGCTCACACCTGTCATCCCAGCACTTTGGGAGGCTGAGGCCGGCAGTCTCTACTAAAAATACAAACATTAGCTGGGTGTGGTGATGGGCGCCTGTAATCCCAGGTACTCGGGAAGTTGAGGTGGGAGAATTGCTTGAACCCAGGAGGCAGAGGTTGCAGTGAGCTGAGATCACGCCATTACACTCCAGCCTGGGCGACAAGAGCAAAACCCTCTTTCAAAAAAAAAAAAAAAAATTATATATAGGGTTTGGTACCACATGCCATTTCAGACATCCACTGGGGGTGGATACTACCGTGGATAAGGTGGAACTACTGTATTTATTTACATCAGTTCTGCTCCCGTCTTATTCCAGAATGCTATCACAGAATACTATAGACTGTGCCTTAAACAACATAAATTTCTTACAGTTTGGAGGTGGGGAAGTTAAAGATCAAGGTGCCAGCAGATCCAGTGTCTGGTGAGGGTATGCTTTGTGGTTTGCTGTCTTCTCCTTGTATCCTCACCTGGCAAGAGAACAGAGAAAATGATCATCTCTTTCTGTGTCTCTACTTATAAGGGTGCTAATCCTATTCATGAAGGTTCCACCCTCATGACCTATCTCCCAAAGGCCCCACCTCCACATACTATCACATTGGGGGTTTAGTCTCCAATGTAGGAATATTTCGAGGGACACAAACATTGAGTTCATAGCAGCTCTTCTCTTTCATTCCCACAAAGAGGAGGGCTCTGCCTTGCCAGACCAATTCATTTGTGATTTTGTGATTCCAACTCAGAAGGAAAGAGAGCTGGGGCAAAGCATCTGAAGCACACAGCCAGGTCTGGAGAAGAGTAGGGCAAGTTTTAAAAGAGGCACAAAAACAACTACTGTGTGTGCAAGAGAAGTGGATGACAGAAAAAGTGTTTAAGATATACTGTTTGCTTTGTGTCTGTTTCACTGTGTTCACCTATGAACACTGTCTTGCTCTGTTGCCCAGGCTGGAGTGCCATGATGTCATCACAGCTCTCTGCAGCCTCAATTTCCTGGGCTCAGGTGATCCTCTCACCACAGCCTCCAGAGTATCTGAGACTGCAAGTGCGTGCCACCACGCCTGCTAATTTGTGGATATTTTGTAGAAATGGGTTTCATGATGTTGGCTGGGTTGGTCTTGAACTCCTGGGCTCAAGTGATTTTCCCTCCTCGACCTCCCGAAGTGCTGGGATTATAAGCATGAGCTACGGTGAGCAGCCTGAGAATTTTTTAAAAGTCATTTTGAAATTGGGTTTCAAGTTCTTGCCTGTGTTTTTTGAATACGGTACTGCTTTAAGACTGGAAAATGTGGATCATAGATTTATAAATACTACACAAAATACTAATCACAAACTACAGACATTTCTGGATGAAATTTGAGTAATGTGGGTGGTTACCTAGCTATTTTACGAAACTGCAGAATTAAAGGCCTTGATTTGTAAAAATAACCTCATCAGATTGTTATGATTTTAAAATAAAAACACCTTCACACCTCCTAGAAGACTCCAAGGTGTAAATATTCTCTTTAAATGTACCAGTAAGTAGACTTAGTCCTAGAACAGTATTTTTTTTAACAAATAAAGTTTATTGTACTGTTTTGGGGATGGTATATTTATTACTGCTAAAAAAATTATTTTGAACTGCTAACGGGCTATAATAACAAACATCAGTAATAAAAATTTAAAACATTCATAAAACCGAGCTGAAAACATGCTCCCAGGCTTAATGGGCAGTAAGAAATCTGGCCGATATGCTGTATAACTTGAACATTCAGTTCTCAAGTAATTTACAACATGTTTTAGCCCTCTTTTAATAATAATAATTAAAAGGCAGGAATATCTTGTATTCCTCCAGCCAGTTTGATAGACTAAAGAGCTTTCACAAAACTAAGACCACGGTGCTAATTCAATATAAAAGGTTGAAAAATATGTTCCTTGTTTTCTTCAGAAAGTTAATGTTCCCTCTCCATAGTTGCATTCGCTCAAAGATTAAGCTTTGCATCTGGGAAGTCCTTGAGCAGAAGTGTCTCCGAAATAGAAAGCCTGGACTCTCAAGGCTTCATTCCTTTGGCCAACATCCCTGGAGCCTCTCCTTTGTGCAGAACACAGGAGCCAGTGCCAGGGCAGCACACGCGGTCCGCAGAAGGCGGCCGTGCCGTGAGGGGCCAGGGAAGGGCGCAGCCAGGAGTGCCAACGACCGCCTAACACACAGCAGGGCAGCTGCACGGCGAACGGGCCTGCCATTCACTGCAGCAAGAAGGATGAGGATCTGTTCCTACATGCACAGTTCCCCTTCCCGTCGAGTCTGTGTCCCCCTTGAAGCCCTGGGTCTAGAGAGCTGGTTCTAGAACTTGCCATCTCGCCCTGAGGATGTCAAGTGCATCGCGGAGAGACCTGAGGGGGAAACAAAGGCCGAGACAGCCGGAAGGACGGAGCCCGCGCGACCCCCGAAGGCGCTGAGCCACCTAGGGCGGCCGGGCGGGGGTCCCACAGATCCTCAGCGCGGCTCTTCGCCGGGGAGGGAACCCCGCGGTGCTACCGGCCGCGCCGTCGCAGAGGAGGGCCTGAGCGCGGCTCTCGGAAGGGCGAGGGTGTGTCGTCGCCCGCGCGCTGAGGCCCGGGGCTCGGGGGCGGCCTTGAGGCGAAGCCCCGCCCACGGCCCCGCCCCTCAGGCGCGCGAGCGGATCCCGCGCGGCGCCAACCCTTTCCCGGGTCATCGCCCCTCCCCTCTTCCGGGCCGCGAGACCCCTGCGCGCCGCTCTGGGGCTGCGCTCTCTCGGGTGCGCGCTCTCTCGCCCGCCAGTCCTCTCGGCGCGCGCTCGGCTGCCCGACGACGCGGGAGCCGCACGCGCCGGACCCAGCTCGCCCCGCTCCCTGTTGCCGAGCGCGGGCCCGTTGAGGCGGAGCCCTCGGTTCCCGGCCAGGACAAGGTCTGGGCCGCCGAATCTCCGGCCGGAGAGCGGCGGCGGCGGCGGCGGCGGTGAGGAGACCGGGCCGGGAGGAGGTAGACATGGCGGGGCCGTGGGTATCGGGGGAGGGTGGTCCCGGCGCCCCTGCGGCCACGTCGAAGGCTCGCTGGCGGGCGGCGCACCGGGGACAGGGGAGGGGCGGGGGATGGAACCAAGCTGCATGGGCTCCGGCTCGGCGCCAGGGCAGGGCTGGGGTCGGCGAGGGCGGCCCGCGAGGGTTTCCGCGGGACCCCCGGCGGGCGCCTGAGGGAAAAGCCGCCGCCGCCTCGGGGCCCCTGCCACGTCTCCGCAGCGCGTCGCCTTCCCCCTCGGGTTGGGCGACAGCCCCGCGGCTTCCCGCCCCCTGCCCACCCCCTTCGCGTCGGTGGGTTTTCTGGAGCCCCGCTTGTTGGGAGAGTCAGTCCTTCGGGAAGCCGGGTCCTCGAACCCAGGGCCGCCTGCCGGGGACAGTGGACTCGCGGGCCGGGGGGCAGGGGCACCCTGGCGAGGATGTTGTCGGGGAGGCCGGGCATCGGGCGCCGGGGCCCGTCCCCTTGAACTTGGGGAAAACCGGGATTGCAGAAGTTGGGCGCAGCTCAAGGCCGCTCTCCGAGGAGTGGGTGGGGATGCCTGACGCCGCCTCACCGCCCTCTCGGAGCCCGGCGGGAGTGCCCAGCGGCGGTTTCCGATGGCTTCCAAAAGTGCGACTCCTGGTCCCTTGGGAAATCATTTCCCCGCTTCATGGTTGAGAGCCCGCCTTGTGGCGCCACTGAGGCCGGCAGGGGCTCCTCAGCCCCACGGGCCAGTCTCGTCGCGCCCTCCACCTTGGGAACGTCTATCAGGAGGAAAATGTGTTCCTAGAAACGATTGTGATGAGGATTTCGTTACAAGGGAGGGAAAAGTACAAAGTTAAAAACTCCTGCCAGGCCGAGCGTGGTTCCCTTCGGGTCTTGTCCACGCAGCCGTGAGCAGAGGAGCCTTGTGGAACAAAGTAGAACTTGAGGAGCGGCCGCCGCGGTGACGAGGTCCCAGGATGACGTCACCGTGCGATATTTAAAATGGGAGCCTTTTGCTCTGAGTGTGGGTGGAGGACGCCTACTTACTCAAGATGCCTGGGGTCTTGTTGGCCCTGCTTGACTCTGGTGGTCCTGTCCCTGACTATAACTCTCCTTCTTTCACCTTTTGGTATTCGTAGAATACTGGTGGGAGTGGGCTTATTTTTTAGCTGTTCCGGCCATCATTTCTTCAAAACGGGGAAAACAAAGTCCATATGAGTCATCTTGTGTTACAACCAAAAACAACCGCTAAGTGGTTCTTTCCTTCCTTCCTTCCTATTTATTTATTTATTTATTTATGTGATATGAAGCAGAGCGAACAGATACAAAACTCAGATTTGTGGCACATAGTTGGCAAATGTAATGAATGAGGAGAATGATCTACTTAAAGATTCAGTAAATTTCTTTAGTGTGGTTCCTTGTTTGCTTTGCTGGAGTGGAGGCTAATGTAGTTCCATCAGCAAAACTTTCTTCCCAACCCCTATGTTAAATTGTCTTGGGTTTTTCCCCCCATTCTATCGTGGTGGAATATAAAGGTACCTTTATAAAGTGGAAATGGCTCACATTTTTCAGGAGGAGGCTGCGCAGCAGTCGTGGTGGGCTGGGGTTACGTGTATTCGCACACTCCTGTGTGGACCCACGCCCAGTGAGTGGAAGGTGAATTGTAGAAGGTGAATCTGGTATTCTAGGGTTCTGGGAGAAAGATTTGAATGCCTTCCTTTCCAGGATCAGGCTATCTGTGGCTGCCAGCAGACCTCTCAGATAGCTGTGTAGAATTTATTTAACAGTGAGGTTTCTTGTTAGAATTTGCACTTTGAATAAAGGAGTCACATTTTGAAGCGAGACTTAAAGAGCAGTTCGAGAAAAGAAAGCTAACAATCAGCTTTATTTTTTTTGAAATGTGGGAACACAAACTATTGCTAGGTTAGTCGATTTTTATGCTAAACATAGCAGAAGCTGTATGTCTTTAATATGTAATTGGCTTCCAAAAAGTTGATGTTGCTTACTAAATGCAGCATCTTAATAACTCCCAAGTTACAACGGCCAGATGAATGAGCTCACTGAGTAAAGACAGAACATACATCAAAACAATCTTAGGACAAGCGTTTGCCTTTAAGGATTAATCAATGATAAATCAGATATGCCATTTTTAAAGTCATTTGAGGCAATCCAACATGCAGCTAAATCTCTGATTATTTCTTTTAGTTTGTTTTTCTGTGGGTGACCCTGAATTTCCATTCTCTTAAACATGTCGTAATAGAGCCATCATTTTTTTTGCCTCTTAACTTCTGGGTAAATGTATCTCTCTTCCTGAAAGAGTACTTACAGAAACTCAGTGCTGTAATTTTTTATGTATAACAGCTTTGAGATTTATATATCATACAATTCACCCATTTAATATGTACAATTCAATGGTTTTAATATATTCACAAAGTTGTACAATCATCACTATAGTGAAATTTAGTATATTTTTTAATCACCCCAAAAAGTAACCCTGTACTTAGTAGCAATACTCCCTTTCTCGGCTTCCCACTTCCCACTAGGCCACTAATCTGTTTTCTGTCTATATAGATTTGCTTATTCTGGATATTTCGTATCAGTGGAATCATACAACATGTGGTCATTTGTGACTGGCTTCTTTACCTTAGTGTGATGTATTCAAGGTTCACCCATGTTGTAGCTTGTATTAGTACTCAGTCCTTTTGACTGATACCACAGTATTTGTCCATTCCTTAGTTGTTAGATATACTGTTTTTCCTTTTTAGCTATTATGAATACTGCTGTGGGTATTTCTATATTCAAAGTTCACCCATATTGTAGCTTGTATTAGCAGTCATTCCTTTTCATTGCTGAATAATATTCCACTATGTGTGTATACCACAGTATTTGTCCATTCCTTAGTTGGTAAACATGTTGATTGTTTTTATTTTTTAGCTATTATGAATACTGCTATGGGCATTCCTATACAAGGTTTTGGTGTGGACATAACGTTTTCATTTCTCTTGGGCAAATAGCTAAAAGTAGAATTGGCCAGGTCATAATGATAACTCTATGTTTAACCTTTTTAGGAACTGCCAAACTTTTCTGTTATAAAATGTCTCTACAGTACTAGATTTTAAAGTAAACTTTTTTATGTTTTAAAGTTCAAATCATTTCACAGAATTTTAAATGTATTACAGGTAAATATGGGCACACACAGTAAAAACTATGTCATAGTATCAATTATTATAGTGCTTTTCTTTTACCGATAGCTCTAGTTTTATTTTAGCCAACAGGAGCAATGTGCTCTCTTTACTGAACTTCTTCATGAACCTAATTGATAAGATTTTAAAGTAGTATTTTATAATAAGGCCTTTATGGCATAAAGATAAGTAGATTGTTCTCTACCCCAGATATGAACCAAAGAAATACCAGATAAAATTGGAAGGAGGAAGGGGAGAGCTGTAAAGGAGGTATATCTTACAGAGCTTCATCTTCCCAGGTTTTATATTTTGGTTTTTTGAGAAAACATGTTTTATCTTTGCAGGAGAAAAAAATGAAGAACGAAATTGCTGCTGTTGTCTTCTTTTTCACAAGGCTAGTTCGAAAACACGATAAGTTGAAAAAAGAGGCAGTTGAGAGGTTTGCTGAGAAATTGACTCTAATACTTCAAGAAAAATATAAAAATCACTGGTATCCAGAAAAACCATCAAAAGGACAGGCCTACAGGTAAAGGATTAGATTGGACTAAGCAGAGGCTGATGAGCCCCTGAGGTGTGTTCAAGGCCAGATGACTGACGGGTGTGCAGACCATGTCTACAAGTGTTTTATCGGCAAAATATGGAACTCTGGGGTGTTTGTATATTTTCTCCTTACTCGTTTTAAAACATAAGTATTTGTTGGTGGAGTCCCACTGCCTGGACACAGGAGGCCAGTGCTATGGGGTCGTAGAAGTTAGTTTTTGTGGTTATAGCCTGGCTCCTGACAGTGCATTTCTGTTTATGACAGGTACATAGGGATTTTCAAAATTCTAGAGGACCCCTAATAACCCATTAATGGTCATGGTAGGAGTTGAAAGAAGAGAATCTTGCATCTAAAAGTAAATTACATGTTACGTGTTTTTTGAAAAAAAAAAAAAAAAAAAAAAAAAGTTTTATGGACAAAGGGAACCAAGGTTATTAGACACCTGATATGTTCTTAATACAAGAATAATCTCATTTATATATTTGCGGTAGAAACCAGAGTAACTGTGTAGATGAATGTAACTCACATGTGATCCACAACTAGTAAATACTGGCTCTGGAATTTGTTTTTGTTTGTTTGTTTGTTTGTTTGTTTGTTTTCTGTTTTTTTTGTTTTTTGTATTGTTTTTGCTCTGTTAACCAGGCTACCGGGCAGTGGTATAACCGTAGCTCACTGCAGCCTCAAACTCCTGGGTTCAAGCAATCCTACTGCCTCAAACTCCCAAGTAGCTAGGATTGTAGACATGTGCTAACATACCTGGCCTATTTAAAAAAAAAAAAGGGCAAAAAAAAAGGGCCGGGCGCGGTGGCTCAAGCCTGTAATCCCAGCACTTTGGGAGGCCGAGGCGGGTGGATCACGAGGTCGAAAGATCGAGACCATCCTGGTCAACATGGTGAAACCCCGTCTCTACTAAAAATACAAAAAACTAGCTGGGCATAGTGGTGTGTGCCTGTAATCCCAGCTACTTAGGAGGCTGAGGCAGGAGAATTGCCTAAGCCCAGGAAGCGGAGGTTGCGGTGAGCCGAGATCGTGCCATTGCACTCCAGCCTGGGTAACGAGCGAAACTCTGTCTCAAAAAAAAAAAAAAAAAAAAAAAATTTTTTTCTTTGTAGAGATGGGGTCTCCCTATGTTACCCAGATGGGTCTCAAATTTCCAACCTCATGTGATCTTCTGCCTTTACCTCCCAGAGTGTTAGGATTACAGGTGTGAGCCACAGTGCCCGGCCAAGGTTCTGGGATTTGAACTCAGGTCTAAATGACCTCATGTTTTCATGGGCTTTCTGCATACCACAGTGCTACCACTGTTTTGGCACTGAGAAGGAAGATAATTCTCACTTGCAGCTGTCTTTTGTACTCTGCTTCATAAGGTACATTTATAGCTTAAAGTGAAGAAGAGCAGACTCCTATAAAACATGCCCTGGCATGCTTACTCTAGTATTTATGTGACTGCTCAAGAACCTCAGTTGAGACTGTTCTGCTAAACTCAGCTGTCAAACATTGTCCCATTTGTGGATGTGGCCATAAGAAATAAAAGTGGAACAGTGACTATAGTGATAACTACAGAAATTCTCTTTTATTTGTATATATTGTTATCCTCAAAGTTTCTTTCACAAGTCAACACTCTGTGCTTTGATGTAAGAAGGGCTGGCTTTATGACACTGAGCTCTTGCACGTACAGGACATTCAAGGAGTCTAGAAAGGAGGCAAACATATTATTTGCTAATTTCTCATGTACTGAAAGTCAAGTGAGCTTGACAAGAGAGTCAAGATAGTATATTTTCCTTTTCATTTTTAATCTAAAGAGGTTTCCAGTAAATTGGAAAATGTGGTGAATTAAAATAGAAATGTGCATGCTAACACAGGCTCAAGTCATTTTTTATCTTATCACTTGATTCTCTTAATTTTTTCTGCATAATTTCATTTCTGATCGAGTGAACAGCTTTCGTAAGTTAGAACTGTTGAGGCTTTTTACTCTGATTTAATTGACATTGGATTAAGGTTTTTTGGAAGTGCCAAGCTACCATACTATTACTGAGAAAGGAGGCACTGTCAAGTAAATACTTAAAGGTCAGACAGTGTACAGTTTCATTTCCATTAATTCTGAAAACTTGAGAAAAAAAGTTAGTGAAACAAGATTAAATTGGCATGTGATCAGAAGTATCATTACTGAGTCATTTTAAAGCTGTATTTGAAGTAGAAAACTCTTAAGACTTAATAGTGGGTTGTTACTATTATAAAAATAAATAGAATATAAGATTAACCAGAGTTAGTAGACTTCAGTCCATAGAATAGGTGGAAACTCGTCAGTCCATAGAGTAGGTGGAGTGTTCTTTCACTTGCAAAATGTTTATAAGTTGAAATTGTTTTTCTACAATATAAAAAGATGCTTGTGAAGAGCAATTTGGCAATATTATCAAGATCTGTAAAAATATTCATACCTTTTGAACAGTAAATCTCCTAAGAATCTATTCTACAAGTATAATTAGAAATGCAGACAAATATGTATGAATATAGATGTTTCTTATACTTTGTAATTGCAAAAATTGGAAAGAACTGACAACATTAAGTAAATGATAGAATATTTTTATGCAACTTCTAAAATTTTGTTTTTGAAGAGTAGCTAATGGATAAGTAGTATATAGAGTGAAAAAACAGTATAAAATATGTAAGGTATGCAGATTTTGTTGAAGCATAGTCTGTTTAAGCATCTATATATATATATCTATATATATAATTTTTAAGCTTAGAGCCTGCATCACCTTCATTGTAGATTTAAAAAACATATACATCTAAGATACATCTTTTTATATCCTTAACCGCTTTTGGTCCCAGGACACATGGGATCTTTTGAATTACCCTATACAATATTAGAATCTATAGAGTAAGACCATGTTTTTAAAAGGACCAAGCAGTATTTTACATATTAGAAAACAATTTTTCTCACTTTGCCTTTGCTATATTGTTAATGGTGATGCTAAAATAGGTACGTATAAACAGGATTGAGTATTAAGGAAATAACATGCTCTTTGGAGTCTAGTGGCCTGGATTTGAACCCTAGATCCATTACTTATTAGCTGTGTAATCTTGGGGAAGTTACTCAAACTCTCTCTGCCTCCTTTTTTCTTTTCTTTCTTTTTTTTTTGGAGATGGAGTTTCGCTCTTGTTACCCAGGCTGGAGTGCAATGGCGCGATCTCGGCTCACCGCAACCTCCGCCTCCTGGGTTCAGGAAATTCTCCTGCCTCAGCCTCCTGAGTGGCTGGGATTACAGGCACGTGCCACAATGCCCAGCTAATTTTTTGTATTTTTAGTAGAGACAGCGTTTACCATGTTGACCAGGATGATCTCCATCTCTTGACCTCGTGATCCACCCGCCTCGTGATCCACTCGCCTCGGCCTCCCAAAGTGCTGGGATTGCAGGTGTGAGCCACCACGCCCGGCCCTGCCTCCTTTTTTTCTTTATGTTGAAAAAAGTATGTAACTCACAGGATGATCATAAGAATTAAGAGTTAATACATGCAAAGCATTTAGGAAATTGCCTATTGCATAATTAACTTTCAGAGAGGGTTCTTATTGTTAATATTATTATGTAGAAACACTTACTCCTAGCTATTACCTATTGAGAACTTTTTCATTTTTTAAATAAAAATTAAAAACAACTAATAATTTAACTTTTATAAAAACTTTAAATAGCACATTACTCTTTATATCATTGTAGTTTATGGCATAATTACTGTTTATCAATTAACTTATATTTCCATGTTTTATAGCTTCGGGTCTGAGGAAGAGGTTATAGTGACCTAACTAAGCTCACCCAGTAAATACTAGGATTAATGCTGAAACCCAAGTTCTCTTGATTAATTATTTGTTATAGGCAGTAATACTTTTCCTTCATAAGGCCTGTTTCCCTACTCAATCAGAATGCTTATTTAACATTTAACAGAATGCATGTTTTTGTATTTAATAACCTCCTTTAGGCCGGGCATGGTGGCTCACGCCTGTAATCCAAGCACTTTGGAGGCCAAGGTGGGCGGATCACCTGAGGTTGGGAGTTCAAGACCAGCCTGACCAAATGGTGAAACCCCATCTTTAAAAAAAAAAAAAAAAAACGGCCACCTTTAAATATTCCATTAGGTAGATGGGGTATTTCATAGGTTAAAAAAAAGAGGGGACAGAGGCTCTATTGGTTTAGACATTTTCCTCATTTAATTTTGAGAACTATTTAAAAGTCCTTGGGTAAATAGAAGTTGAATGAAATAAGCCAGTAACATGTTAGTTAGGTGTTTTAATCATAAGTATATGATATAAATGAATCTGTGTCCTTCACTTACTCTGTATGTATAGAACAATTATAGGTAAAACAAAGGTGCCCTTTTAATACTTTATTATCTAAGATGCAAAGGCAAGTTGATGACAGATTAAAATTTGTCATAACCATTTCCAAATATTGTTTGAAACATAGATGAGGCCTTTTGTTAGAGATTTTTTTGTATTGGAAAGTGGCCTCTAGAAACTTTTACCTTCAGAGTTCTAAAATTTCCTACTCCTTTCTCATTTAATGTACATGGGTGGTCAAGTCTTTGGGTAGACTGAGGTAGACCCAGTCCTAGTAATTTCCTGGGGCTCACATAGGTGCCATCTTTTTTTTTCACCAGACAGAGTAGTCTTGATGCTGCCTCTATGCCTAGAGTTCACATTTATTATCTAGGATAGATATACTCCTACGTTCTCTACCAGGGTATTTTTTATTACTGTTTTATTACTCACCTTGGCAAGTATGAATAGGTATTATGATGTTTATCATTAAATTAAATGCATTAATGTAACTCCACTTTGTTGTAGATGTATTCGTGTCAATAAATTTCAGAGAGTTGATCCCGATGTCCTGAAAGCCTGTGAAAACAGCTGCATCTTGTATAGTGACCTGGGCTTGCCAAAGGAGCTCACTCTCTGGGTGGACCCATGTGAGGTGTGCTGTCGGTGAGTTCTCAAGTCTGGAGGCTGAACTGATTATCATACTGGAACTAATTTTATGGCATTCTGTCCTGTACAGCCTGCCTGTGTGTCTTTATGTCCAGGAGCTGGTAGTTTAACTTTCTCGGATATAAATGTTATGAAATACTTTTCTGGAGGTGATGGTAAAGGACTAGTTACATTCCTGCTTTAGAGCTGAATAAAGAAACTGATTAGGTGGAGTTTTTCTAGTAATGCTTTGCCAAGAAGTTTATTGTAGACCAAGAAATAGACACCTAGATTCTGCTGGGTGTCTATTATTATCTTTAATTGGTAGTGCACTTGTCTGTTTATGTTCAAATTAAAAAGCTAATCCCAAGTAATACTGCTGGATAATAATAATTGGGTTGTTTCTATTTATTCTCCTCCCTCTCTCTCCTTTTTTTTTCGAGATCGAGTTTTACCCTTTTCGCCCATGCTGGAGTGCAATGGTGCGATCTCAGCTCACTGCAACCTCTACCTACCAGGTTCGAGTGATTGTCTGGCTTCAGCCTCCCAAGTAGCTGGAATTACAGGCGCCTTGCCACCGCACCCAACTAATTTTTTTTAATTTATTTTTTATTTTTAGTAGAGATGGGATTTCACCGTGTTGGCCAGGCTGGTCTCAAACTCCTGACCTCGTAATACACCCTCCTCAGCCACCCAAAGTGCTGGGATTACAGACGTGAGCCACTGTGCCTGGACTCCTTCTTTTTGATTATATAAGTGACTGAGTGATACTTGGGTTTTATTTTCATAATGGAAGTGGCTTTTCTCATATTCTAATGAATAGAGTTGTGAAAGATCAGTGCTAAGTATGAAATCTTTTTGAACTCCACTCACTCAGAAACCATTCTTTGTGGACCAGGCACTCTTAGTTGTGGGGTTTCAAAACTGAAAGCAGCATTCTGCTTTTAGGTAGTTCAGTTTGAAATTAAGGAGAAGAAAATAATCAAATTATATCATCATCCGATTATACTATAATGGAAATGTATACAAGATGCTGTGGTAGGTTGCACAAAGTAGAAAGTTACTGCATCTGCTGAGGAGTCAGGAGACTACTGAGTAGGTGATACTTTAGCTGGGAGGGGAAGGATGAGCCATGGTTGACTAGGTGACAAGTTGGGAAGGATGTTCTAGGTAGCAGGAACAAGATGAACAGAGTCATGGAACTCCCGCAGGAATTTTCTTGTGGCTATACCTTTAGGGTGTTTCTCTTTGGTTTTGAGGTACAATTCACCTGACCACTTGGCCTCTTGTAGTAAAGGTACTTTTTGAAGGAACCCTAACTATATGCTCCAAGGTGGTCACAGACTGACCTGATTTCCATCAATGAAGGTGGAGGTGAAGACATGAGAGCCGAATTACATGTTTATTCTGCATTAAATTTTGTCAGGACCACCGCTTGAGGTTACTACCTGATTTGCCAGTGGTTGGTATAAGTTTATTGCTTGGGGAAACCAGGTGTAGGTAGTAGAGGTTTATGATAAAGATTCCCCAGTACTATTTTCTTGAGTAGAAAAGGAGAGCAAGCTATCTCAAATTTAGGTCCGAGAAAATAAACATTTTTAGATTCTGGGACTAATAAAGGATTTGCCTTAGGCTAGTCTCAGACTTGGAAAACTTCGGCCACTAAACCTGTGCAGAGACCTCCATTTATAAGAAATAGCTGTCAAAAAGCTACTATATTGAATTGCTTACTTTTTAATTTGACCTGCACTTAGATCCTAGTTGGCTCTTACCTAACACACAATTCTTTAAGTTAGTTGTGTAGTTTCTCAGCCCATAAAAAGTGAGAAGCAACATTGGAAAGACAGTTGATCAGTCAGATGCCACCAAAAAATGTCATATGGTCTGACGTAGAGAGGCAAGAGTGAAAAAGCTACAATATCAGCACAAGTATGTTATCACAGTCAAATAGTTTATATTCAATGTAATGATCCTGAACCATCAGGGAAATGTTTTTATGTCCATGGATGTTTACCAAGTTACGTAATTACATAAACATTTTGGACCTTTGTATTTAAAATGCTTAAAATAAGTCTCAGCACCTGAACATAAAAATTTTAGTTATTTGGACACGTCTTTGTAGAATGAAAAAAAAAATTAGTTATACAGACATTCTACTTGAGTAGACATTTCATTACTTGATGATCCCTGGTAGGAAAAACTACTACTTTGCTTTCACCTTATTAATTTAAGAAACACTTTTCATTCAGTAGGCTTCTAATAATTTTACATGTAAAATTTTGCCAAAACTTGACTCTGATGTGATTTTTTTCCAACTAATGGAAATCACCTGCAGAATGTAAGGTGTTCATTCAGTAATAGAACCCCAAAAAGAGGTATTAGCAGTTGAGTAGAAGTGGTTCATAAGCTAACAGAAGAAAAAGAGACATTGAGAAGTGCTTTTTCCATTGAAACTGGAAAGATAGATATTTTGAAAATTAAAACAAAGCTGATCTAATATACAATTGATCAAATATCTGAGAATCTTTAAAAATAAGTCATTGATATACTGGAGACTAAGATTATAAAAAAAAAAATTGAGATGCACTCAGCATTCTTCATAGTCTTACTCTGTCAGAGTAAAATGTTGCAAGAGTACAGAGTACGCCAAATAGTTAGAAAGGTTATCACTTAGTAATATAGAATGGAAAATAAATCTTTCTTATCATGAGAAGTTCTGAGAATAAATGGCAGCTTCATTAATCTACTCAACATATTTTAAAACTTTTTTTTCCCAATACAGAGTGTTAGATATTATTGATTGTTTCAGAATAACTAAATTAGCCTTGATGTTTTACCAGTGATCATTGAAAAATGGAAAGTTTAAAAGTTGTCCAGCTGTTACTAATTCTAAGGGATTGACTACACATTATAATGCTACAATAGTATAGTCAGCATCTTCTCTTACCGTGAGGAGAGCCCTCATACCAAAATACTGCAAAGGGAAAAATGAAAAACCTGAATGGGTGTCAAAGAAATCTTTGAGTTAATAAAGCTAATCTTCAATCATTAGACATTTGCCCTTGATTAAGGTTTCTATTTCTACAAAGGTAGAAATTTTTCTGAAATTTTTTGCCTTTGTGTTTTTGAATTTCGATGCCAGTAATGGGCAAAACTGAAGATAGGCCTAAGCCATTGCTATATTACTGTCATCAACACATGAATTAACTCTTGATTATCTTGAAATTTGTTGAGTCTTTCAACCATGAAGAGGACACTGAGTAAATGTGTATTACCAAAAGCTTATGCTAAGTAAACTTGAAATTAGAGAACTCAAATCTTACGTTGTGAGGAACTCACCCAGTTGTTTAGGAATTGTATTTGTTTTTTGTTGTTTTTTTTTCCTTTTGTTTGTTTGTTTTGTTTTAGAGATAGGGTCTTGGCTCTGTTGTCCAGGCTGGAATGCAGTGGCATGATCATAGCTCACTGTAATCATGAACTCTTGGGCTCAAGCAATCCTCCTTCCTCAGCCTCCTAAAGTACTGGGATTACAGGTGTAAGCTGCCATGTCTAGTTTCTGTTTAGGCATTTTATACTATAAAGAGTCACCAGCCGTAGATCAACCGCTATCTAGCAAGCTCCAGCTTCCTCATCCAGCATATAGGAAACTAAGGTCTAGGGAAATTAAGTGACTTGCCTCTGGTGAACAGAGCTAGTTAGTGACAGAGTCAGAATGAGAAACTAGTCTAATGCCCTTTCTACTAACTTGTAGCAACTTTAATCAGGTAAACTAAAAAAGAGTAGAAGGCCAGGCATGGTGACTCACGCCTGTAATCTCAGCACTTTGGGAGGCCAAGGTGGGCGGATCACGAGGTCAGGGGTTCAGGCCCAGCCTGACCAACATGGTAAAACCCCTTCTCTACTAAAAATACAAAAATTAGCTGGGTGTGCATGGTGGCACATGCCTGTAATCCCAGCTACTCGGGAGGCTGGGGCAGGAGAATCGCTTGAACCCAGGAGATGGAGGTTGCCGTGAGCCGAGATCATGCCACCGCACTCCAGCCTGGGTGACAGTGAAACTCTTGTCTCCAAAAAAAAAAAAAAAAAAAAAAAAAAAAAAGAATAGAAAAGGGAAGCTATGTACTATATCAAAGTAGTATATATAGTTTGATTTGGCCTATGGGAATGGAAGACAGCATAGCTACATATAACTCATCTATCTGTGATCTGAGACTTGATTTCCACATTTTCTTTTCTTTTTAGCAGGGTCTTGCCACGTTGCCCAGACTGGTCACAAACTTCTGGGCTCAAGCAGTCTGTCCACCTAGGCCTCCCAAAGTACTGGGATTATAGGCATGAGCCACTGCACCCAGCCTTACATACATTTTCAAAGACTTTATAGCAGTTAAGCCTTTTACTTTATCATAGATAACCATTCTGATTCAGAAATAATTTCAGACAAGTGCTATCTTGAAATCAATTAACATCAGCTATTTTTATTGAATCAAAAGCTTGACATTATTTCTACTTTGAGTTGTTTTTATCTTTTTTCAAACTTAGAATCACTTTAATTGCATTTCTAACTTTATGTGTTTTGTAAGAACTGCTTAACAATATCTTTTGTCCTGACACTAAAAATTGTTTCATAGTGTTTACATTGTGCAATCTATTTAAATAGATTTGTGGATTTCTCCTTCGTCCAGTGAATAAAAACTCTTGGTTTTACTGTTTATTACACTATTTTCCTTCATTTCAGAATTTTTCTTTTTTTCTTTTAAGTAATTAGCGGTGTAGGTTGCATATTTTGACAGCTTTATTTATTTATTTATTTTTTTTAATCAAGCCTTCAACAATATTTTGGAATAATAACAAGACTTTTCATCTCACCCTAAAAAAAAATTGTGAGAGGTGAGCAGTTATCCTAGGAAGCTCTGAAATAAGCAATATAATTTAACCAAAACTTCTTTATACAAAGAGGTTTATGAAAATATTAACAACAATCTTTTTTCTTTAATCTCAATAATTGCCTCAGTTCTCATTTTTGTGAGTATAAATATTAGAAACATAGGCCCCTTTTAATTAGGGTTGAAGTCAATATTACAGGAAATTTCTAGTTGATCTCTGACTTGAATCATTAGGATATACATAACATTTAAAAATACAGCTGGGGCTCAGTGCAGTGGGTCACACCTGTAATCCCAGCACTTTGGGAGGCTGAGGTGGGTGGATCACCTGAGGTCAGGAGTTCAAGACCAGCCTGGCCAACATGGGGAAACCTCATCTTTACCAAAAATACAAAAATTATCTGGGCATAGCGGCAGGCACCTGTAATCCCAGCTACTTGGGAGGGTAAGGCAGGAGAATCACTTGAACCCGGGAGGTGGAGGTTGCATTGAGCCAAGATTGTGGCATTTCACTCCAACCTGGGCAACAGAGCAAAACTCTGTCTCAAAAAAAATAAAATAAAAATCTGGGTGTAGTGGTGTATGCCTGTGATCCCAGCACTTTGGGAGGCTGAGGTGGGTGGATCTAGGTGTTTGAGATGGATCTTGAACCTAGGTGTTTGAGATCAGCCTCAGCAACATAGTGAAACCTTGTCTCTAAAAATATATATAAATTAGCTGGGCATGGTGGTAAACTCCTGTAAACCTAGCCTCTTGGGAAGTTTCAGGTGGGAGGATCACCTGAGCCCAGGAAGTAGAGGCTGCAGTGAGCTGTGATTATGCCACTGCACTCCAGCCTGGGCAACAGAGTGAAACCTGTCTCAATAAAAAAATAAAAATACATCAGAATTTCTGTTTGTTTGTTTTTTAAAGAGACGGGGTTTCATCATGTTGGTCAGGCTGGTCTCAAACTCCTGATGTCGTGATCCGCCCGTCTCAGCCTCCCAAAGTGCTGGGATTACAGTCATGAGCCACCGCGCCTGGTCTCAGAATGTTTTATTGTACAACCACTTTCATTGGTGCGTACAAAAATGTAATAAAAACAATGGACTTTTAAAAATATTTTAAACATTTTTTTTAGGAATTAGTAGAAAATAAAGTAATTAAGGAAAGAAAATGGAGTTCTATGATGCTTAAATAGACCAGAAGTAGAAAACTGTGGTTTGCTTGCTGACATTGAGCTGTATTAGGATATTAAATGTGTAGGGTCAAGTTCTGCGATGATTCCTTCTTTGTTTGGATTGATGACATGTCCAGATCTGTTTGGATTGATGACATGTCCGAATCTGCTTAATTGTTTTAATGGACATTTTTTGCTTTGCTGATGTGACTTCAAGATTTATGTTTTTAATTTTATTCTTAGGTACGGAGAGAAAAACAATGCATTCATTGTTGCCAGCTTTGAAAATGAAGATGAGAACAAAGATGAGATCTCCAGGAAAGTTACCAGGGCCTTTGATAAGGTTACCTCTGATTATCATTCAGGATCCTCCTCTTCAGATGAGGAAACAAGTAAGGAAATGGAAGTAAAGCCCAATTTGGTGACTGCAGCTGCAAGCCCTGTGTACCAGGTAACCATGAAACAACTCAGTCTTGAAGGCATGAGCAGGAATTGCCAGGACCTTTCAGGTAGTCCTGCTTGGCATTGATTTGAGATTCTGAGTAATAGTTCTTGCCTTTCCCCATGCGAAGGGAAAGCTGTTTCTCTGGCATGTATATAGGCATCCTGAGTCATTTTATCAAAGGTCAGCTCTACTATACAATAACTAGGATAAATATATTTCAAAAAAAATGGCAAAAAGGAGAAAATTTTTGATGGTACCACATTCCCGATATTTTAAAATTATTCAGAAGTTACCACACTAAGTGTGTAACACTTTGTTTTGTACCTTTGGATTTAACTTTCTGCTATTCTCTCCCTTTCCATGATTAAAGAGAAATCTCTCTAAATTTACTCTATTATCATTAATTTATTACTCAAGCTGAAACATCGTCTCCCTTTTTGCTTTACTAGTTGAAATAGCTAATGTGTCTGCATTTACAGATCCATTTGCATATTTACTACTTATATCTACATACCAAAGAACTTTTTGTCGACTTCAAAAAATTACTGACCAAACAGCATTCTTCAATAGGAAAGACATTTTAAAGTCAAAACAATTTAAAGAGATCTTTTGAGTTGAGCCTTAATCTGTACGTGTACCTAGGGTTAATTTTTCAAGGTACCTATTTTTATTTATTTGCCTTAATGTAATGAAACATACTAGGTTTATGGTAAGGTTGAGCTAAAAATGAAAATTTAGACCTAATGACTAAGAAGCACACTATTGGAGATTTTAGTATGAGAAGCTAAGCTTTTAAATTCAGTATACATTTACATAATGAACATTATTTCAGTGTAACTTAATTTTTGGTTTCTCATTTTGTTTCTTAGTTGTTGAATTATTCTTCCTAGACTTGTGGGGAAGATTCTTCCTAGACTTGATAATCTTCATATTATCATAATTTAGGGATCTATGCATATGTATAATAACATGCACCTGGCTTTATGAAACTTTAAAACAGTACAAGAGAGTATAATAGTGAGAAGTCCTCTTTCTTCCCAACCAGCAGTCTTATGCTCTTCCAAAGAGGCATTTGTCACCAGGTTTTGTTTTGTGTGTTTTTTTTTTTTTAAGTATCCTTCCAGAGATTCACTATATAAATAAGTAAACATAGTATTTATACTTCAGGATTGTTTTTAAAACTTTTACCATAAATATTTTAGGCATTTTTTTCCTCCATGTGACAGATTATATATTGGAAATTAGCATTACTGAATTTTCTGGAATTCATTCAAATGTGTGGCAATTTTACCTCAGAATTTTATTTGTTGTTACTCAGCCAAGCAAGAATGTAAGTCTCAAATTAAATTGATTGCTTTGATTTTTTTCTTTTTCTTTTTCTTTTCTTTTTTTTCTTTTTGAGACGAGTTTCACTCTTGTTGCCCAAGCTAGAGTGCAATGGTGGGATCTCAGCTCACCACAACCTCCACCTCCTGGGTTCAAGCAGTTCTCCTGCCTTGGTCTCCCGAGTAGCTGTGATTAGAGATATGTACCACTACTCCTGGCTAATTTTGTATTTTTAGTAGAGACAGGGTTTCTCCATGTTGGTCAGGCTGGTCTCAAACCCCTGACATCAGGTGATTTGCCCACCTCAGCCTCCCAAAGTGCTGGTATTACAGGGTGAGCCACTGTGCACGGCTGATTGCTGTTAATTTTTTACAAGCAAACCTTTAATTTTTAGGATTTCTTTTAAAATTAAATTCCATTTATTTTCTCTCATGTTGAAAGACTATTAGGATAACAAAAAGGTATGGAAATTGAGGTGTCTCTTATATGCTTTTTAAGGAAAATATTTCTCCTTGGCATTATACTCATTAGCAAAACATTTTATAATAGAGAACCACTACTATGAGTTCTTGTGTGAAAAGCTACTGCAAATGGCCCACTTTGATTTTTTTTTTCTTTTCTAAACTAGTGTTTTTATCTTGAATCTGGCAATGCCACAAGCTTTAAAAAAGATTTTCAAATATGGACAAAAATAATTCTACCTTGGAATCTTTGTTTTCTACTGTTTTCTTTTTCTTTTTTTTTTTTTTTTTTGATAACGGAGTTTCGCTCTTTTTACCCAGGACGGAGTGCAATGGTGCAATCTCCGCTCACCGCAACCTCCACCTCCTGGGTTCAGGCAATTCTCCTGTCTCAGCCTCCTGAGTAGCTGGGATTACAGGCACGCGTCACCATACCCAGCTAATGTTTTGTATTTTTAGTAGAGACAGGGTTTCACCTTGTTGACCAGGATGGTCTCGATCTCTTGACCTCGTGATCCACCCTCCTCGGCCTCCCAAAGTGCTGAGATTACAGGCTTCAGCCACCACGCCCGGCTGTTCTCTACTGTTTTCTTTTTTTTTTTCCTACTGTTTTCTATAAGGTATCCCAAGAGACGGGGCTCCACAAATTAAGAAGTGAAGATTGTGTCAGTTCTCCTGAAATAGATCTGTAGATCCAATTCAGTATCAATGAAAATCTTAAAAGGCTTTTTCTAGAAAATGACAAATTGATTCTAATTTTTTAAAAAGGAAGATCAGTTAGAGGGCTCATACTAATTCAAAGCTATTATATATTCATCAAGACAGTGTGGTAATGGTTTAAAAATATACAAATATACTGATGACACAGGATAGAAAGTCCAGAAAAGTAGACTCACATACATACAATTAGTCTTTTTTTTTTTTTTTTCCATTTTAACAAAAGTGCCAAAGCAATTCAATGGGAAAAATCTTCAAAAACTTGTGCTGAAACAACTGGATGATCTGCATAGGAAGGAAAAAGCCACAAACCTAACTTAGCTGACACCATACACAAAAGCGTCGATTTTAGATGGATCCTGTACCTAGACATAAAAACTAAGTCTCTGACACTTTTAAGAGAAAACATAGGGAAATATCTTCTTTATTATCTTGTGACAGGCAAAGATTTCTTCTAGAGAGTCACAAAAAGTACTAAAAGGGAAAAAACTGATAAACTGGACTTCATCAAAATTAATCATCTTTTTGCTCATCAAAGAAACCATTAAGAAAATGGGCAAACCATAGATTAGGACAAAATAAAATACCCTCATTACATATATCCATAAAGAACTTATTTCCAGAATAGACTTTTTAAAAAATCACCCACAAATTACTAGTAAAAGGCAAATGACCCAGTAAAAAATAATAGGCATATGCTGCTGTAATCTCAAAAAGGCAGGGGAGCAAAAGATGTGAACAAACACTTTACAAAAGGAGTTATATGAATGGCCTCATTTATCATCAGAGGAATGCAGATTAAAACCACATGAAACACTAGTTCTTCCAGAACTGCTTAATTTAAAAGTCTGACAACATCAAATGTTAGCAAGGATATGAAGCAGCTAGATTCATAAACTGTTGGTGGTGCTGTAAAATGGTACCACCACTTTGGAAAACTGGCAGGTTTTAAAGTTAAATGTGTATCTCTTCTGTTACTCAGCATTTCCACTCCTAAGTATTAAATATTTACCAAAAGAAACAAAATTATGTCTAGAAAGCCTTATATTAGAATTTACTGTGCTGTTATTCATTGCAGCATTGTTTTATTCATTACAGCAGCCTCGATGTCACATTAATAGGAGACCATTTAATTTCTAGTCATTGCAATACTATCTAGCTGTAGAACAAGAAGAAAGTGAGAAAGAGTTTTTTTTGTTTGTTTGTTTGTTTTGAGACGGAGTCTGGCTCTGTCACCCAAACTGGAGTGCAGTGAGAAAGGGTTTTATGTATTGCTATGCTTCTGAAATGTATTATTATCAATTGTAAAAAGCAGGATACAGTCCAGTATACACACATATTTTAAAAATGTGTATGGCTGTGCATAGAATATCTCTAAAGGTATATTAAAAAAAAAAAAGTTTACTGTCAGTTGCCTCTGAGAAGAGGAAGATAAAGAAGATAAAGGGTCAGGTAAAAAAAAGAGGAACTTTCCACAGTATACCCTTTTGTACCTTTTGAATTTTCTATCATATAAATGCGATGATATACAGAAAATATATATATATTTAAATCCTATGCTTAGAAATGCAGATTACAGATCAGAGAAATGGGAAATTTAAGAAGGTGCAGCATTCTGAGCAGAGAGGTCTAAAATTGCTGATAAGAACACTTTAGGGCCGGGCTCGGTGGCTCAAGCCTGTAATCCCAGCACTTCGGGAGGCCGAGGCAGGTGGATCACAAGGTCGAGAGATCGAGACCAACCTGGTCAACATGGTGAAACCCCGTCTCTACTAAAAATACAAAAAATTAGCTGGGCATGGTGGCGCGTGCCTGTAATCCCAGCTACTCAGGAGGCTGAGGCAGGAGAATTGCCTGAACCCAGGAGGCGGAGGTTGCGGTGAGCCGAGATCGCGCCATTGCACTCCAGCCTGGGTAACAAGAGCGAAACTCCATCTCAAAAACAAAACAAAACAAAACAAAAAAAACTTTAAATAATATGAACCTGATGTGCCCAGCTGATTTATGGGATAATCTAAAACTTCCCAAATACTAAACAGGCTACATCAAAACCTGGGGAGCTTTGTCAAAATACCTGGCCTCTAGTTCTGAGATTTTATTATTGTTCAATAGACCAGTGCTAGGGCATGAACATTTTGTGTTCATTTTTATTTTTGTTTTTTTAACTTTTATTTTAGGCTTAGGGGTACACATGAAGGTTTGTTACATAGGTAAACATGTATCACAGGGGTTTGTTGTACATATTATTTCATCACCCAGCTATGAAGCCCAGTACCCAATAGTTACTTTTCTGTTCCTTTTCCTTCTCCCACCCTCCCCTCTCAAATAGACTCCAGTGTCTGTTGTTTCCTTCTTTGTGTTCATACGTTCCTATTATTAACTCCCACTTCTAAGTAAGAACATGCGGTAGCTGATTTTCTGTTTCTGCATTAGTTTGCCAAGGATAATTGCCTCCATCTCCAATGGATGGTGTTTAAAAGCTTCTAAGTGACTTCTGGCTAGCCAGCTGTGGAAACAGCTGGACTAAAGCAAGACATGTCCTTACAAGCTTCCATTTGTTCCATGATTTGGTCTTTTCTGGTTGAAGTTGTTTAGGAAGTACTGTGTTTGAGCTTGTTTTATGCATTCAGAAAACATTGGTTATCTATTTTATATATTATATACCTCTATTACATATGAGGTTTTTAATATATTTAGATCTGACCACAAGAATGTCACTTAGATGTGCCCTTAGGGTTGTGGGTAACTGTCTTTAATGAGAAATCTGGAACATAGATGATGAATTTTTCCTTTGAATTAACTGAATGTTTTCTCTTCCCTACAGATTTCAGAACTTATATTTCCACCTCTTCCAATGTGGCACCCTTTGCCCAGAAAAAAACCAGGAATGTATCGAGGGAATGGCCATCAGAATCACTACCCTCCTCCTGTTCCATTTGGTTACCCAAATCAGGGAAGGAAAAATAAACCATATCGCCCAATTCCAGTGACATGGGTACCTCCCCCTGGAATGCATTGTGACCGGAATCACTGGATTAATTCTCACATGTTAGCACCTCACTAGCTTCTTTTTTGATTGTGTTGGTGTCATGTTGAGAAAAAGGAAGAATAAACCTGAATACACTTTCAAAGTTAAAAGTTCATACTAATAGTAGTGAAGTTAGATGGACCAAACCATCAAACTTATTTTTATAGAAGTTATTGAGAATAATCTTTCTTAAAAAAATATGCACTTTAGATATATTGATATAGTTTGAGAAACTTTATTAAAGTTAGTCAAGTGCCTAAGTTTTTAATATTGGACTTGAGTATTTATATATTGTGCATCAACTCTGTTGGATACGAGAACACTGTAGAAGTGGACGATCTGTTCTAGCACCTTTGAGCATTTACTTTATGGAGCGTATGTAAGTTATTTATACACAAGGAAATCTATTTTATGTCGTTGTTTAAAAGAATTGTGTGAAATCATGTAGTTGCAAATAAAAAGTAGTTTGAGGCATGACAATGCATGTTCTGTTGTGTGCATAAAAAAGAGAAAAAGAACAGAGGGGATGTTTCCCTTCAGTGTATTGAACCAAATAGCAAAAACATGAAACAGAACGTAAGACTTTCAGAATTTCCTTTGAAAACATCAACTGTTTATTAATCATACTTTCCCTAAAATACCACATATCAAAATATGCATATGAAAAGTTAAAAAATTATTAGTGGTAGCTATTGAAAATACAATAAAACATCTTTTAACTATCAGTGTCATTATACATAGAGTTTTTTAAACCAAGAATTTGGTTGATAAGACATCTGACTTCCATGTTTTTTTTTTTTTTTTTTTTTTGAGACGGAATTTCGCTCTTGTTACCCAGGCTGGAGTGCAATGGCGCGATCTCGGCTCACCGCAACCTCCGCCTCCTGGGTTCAGGCAATTCTCCTGCCTCAGCCTCCTGAGTAGCTGGGATTACAGGCACGTGCCACCATGCCCAGCTAATGTTTTGTATTTTTGGTAAGACAGGGTTTCACCATGTTGACCAGGATGGTCTCAATCTCTTGACCTCGTGATCCGCCCGCCTCGGCCTCCCGAAGTGCTGGGATTACAGGCTTGAGCCACCGCGCCCGGCCTGACTTCCATGTTTAATGCCATTGCGTAAAGTAGATGTGTTCTTACAGCTGCTCAAATCTCTGTGCCTTGTGCTTTTTTTTTAAATAAAAAAACAACATTTAAGTCTTTCTAGAGGCCTAAAAGTTAAATATTACAGTACTTCAGATTCTTCAGTAGTCCTTCATATTTATACAACTGTAATTCCATCAGTCTTGTAAGGGTGCTTGAACTACAAAAAGAAAAAAAGAGATATCTCTTTAAGAGTTTTGTTTTTTTCCCAAAGGCAAATTTTAAGAAACTAAGATGAGCAATACTTTTCCATTGTCCTCATCTTTAAATGTACAGTTTGACTTACCAGAAAAATCACAACTTGCTAATAAATCATTCGATGGCCATGGTTATTCCACAAATTATTGTTAGTTTTTAGGAATATAAATTCTACTGAAGTACAAAATTGCACAAATCATAAAGGTATAGCTCAATAGTATACCTTTGTAAAGTCAGTTTTTAAAGTGTTTACAACTTCAGAAAACCATTTTTAAACCTGACTGTGAAGCTATACATTTTTTCCTGAAATCTATAGTGACTGCGTATTCAAACGAGCATGTTTATTGATGTCACAAGGGAGATGTGTTTTATCAAGTTAATTTTTTGTTTTGTTTTGTTTTGTTTTGAGACGGAGTTTCACTCTTGTTACCCAGGCTGGAGTGCAATGGCGCGATCTCGGTTCATCACAACCTCCGCCTCCTGGGTTCAGGCAATTCTCCTGCCTCAGCCTCCCGAGTAGCTGGGATTACAGGCACGCGCCATCATGCCCAGCTAATTTTTTGTATTTTTAGTAGAGACGGGGTTTCACCATGTTGACCAGGATGGTCTCGATCTCGACCTCATGATCCACCCTCCTCGGCCTCCCAAAGTGCTGGGATTACAGGCTTGAGCCACCGTGCCCGGCCTAAGTTAATTTTTTTTAACCAAAGTTATTAAAAGAGAAAGGAAAAAAATTGCTTGCAAAGCCATCACACTGCTTCCTTACAGATACTTGAGAGTTTTGTGGTGATAATGACAGATTTGTAGCTGATTGGTGTAAAGTTGGAAAGTTTCAAGTATTTTTATCATGAAGTTAGCAGATAGCATTTTTTGTTGCTTTGCTTATAAGTAAATCGGTCCTCATCTGCAGGTTTCTTGTCTGTGTATTCAAACATGGATGGAAAATATTCAAAATAAAAGTAAACAAAATACAAATTTTAAAATATAACTGTATAACATTTAAATTGCATTAGGTATCATAATCTAGATTTAAAGGATGTGCATAGGCTATATACAAATACAAGACCATTTTGTATAAGGCATTTGAGTATCTGAGGATTTTGGTATCCAAGAAAGATCCTGGAATCAATCTTCCAAGGATACTGAGGGATGACTCTATATAGGCTTGTTGGGAAAATCAGGAGCATAATAGTGTCAAGAAGGGAGTGGCATGTACTTAGTATCCAGAACATTCCACGCTACTACAAAATTATTAGTTGTGACAACTAAATGACAGGGCCTGTTGGGGAAACTACTAGTTTTGAATTTGACTGCATACAGGTGGATGTACTACTACTTGTAGAACATTCTACCAGTGTTTCAACTACCCATTCTCCACCTTGTTCTGAAACTTATTTAGAGCAAAAGAACGCTCTCATGGCTTTTCCAATCCATTGCTAATGAAATAAAACTTAATCAGCAACTGGGTATTAAATTCCAGCAAGCATGGGGTACAAAAGTTTGCCAACCCCTTTTTTTTTTTTTTTGAGACGGAGTTTCGTTCTTGTTACCCAGGCTGGAGTGCAATGGCACGATCTAGGCTCACTGCAACCTCTGCTTCCTGGGTTCAGGCAATTCTCCTGCCTCAGCCTCCTGAGTAGTTGGGATTACAGGCATGCGCCACCATGCCCAGCTGATTTTTTGTATTTTTAGTAGAGACGGGGTTTCACCGTGTTGACCAGGATGGTCTCGATCTCTTGACCTCGTGATCCACCCGCCTCAGCCTCCCAAAGTGCTGGGATTACAGGCTTGAGCCACCGCGCCCGGCTTGCCAAACCCTTTTTCAGTGGTAATTATAACTCTAGGCACTTTGCCTCTTAAGTTTGTCTCCCCTAGACAACTCGAAGATGGCTCTTAGACAAAGCATGGCTACATAATTTCAGCTTGAAATCCTTATCAGGCTATTTCAAGCAGGAATGGTTTCTCATTGAACAATAATTTGTTTAAATTTTCCATTTTATTTATATTTGTAGGCATAACTGCAAAGCTCTAAATTTATAGATTGCACTTGGACATGGATGTTTGAAAAAAACTTATAAGTTCTATCACATTAATACTAAAGTGCTTATTTCTGTTTTTTAGTATAATACTTAAAGTATTTTTTTTAGTAAACTATGGTTCCAAGCTGAGATAATAAAGCATTTATGTTGACTTTCACTCAGTTATATCAATTTGGCAGTTTAACACAGTGTACAACATTAGTAAACTTTGTGCCAAATTTCTCCATATAGTCTGGAATCTACTCCAGTGGGTGAAGCAATAACATTGTGAGGCACTTAGGGAAACAATATCCCTGCATTGCATATGGCACCGTATGGCATTGACTGATCATACTGGGAAGTTGTCACGTAAGCCCTAGTTAGAAGGAAGGCTCATGCAATTCTTCTGCAATATGTACACTTTGCTGGACGTGGTGGCTCACACCTGTAATCCCAACACTTTGGGAGGCTGAGGCAGGCAGATGACATGGGGTCAGGAGTTCCAAGACCAGCCTGACCAACATACAGAAACCCTGTCTCTACTAAAAATACAAAAAGATTAGCCAGACATGGTGGCACATGCCTGTAATCTCAGCTACTCAGGATGCTGAGGC